TTTAATATGCAATTTCTATAGTTAAGTGTTTGAATAAGAAAAGGGATGCACTGGCTGACCATAGATGTGTCATGAAGTGGGTAAATTGCTTGTTATGCTTCCCTTGTCTTGGATTCCCGTAAAAGTAATGACTACAAATTTCACAAATAAAATACGTAAGCAAAAGCAATAAATTATTTTTGAACCTCAGAAACTGTGAGCAGACAATGTATTAAATAATGTTATAAAAGAACTACTAAGTGTGAAGTTTTAATCAAAAATAAAACAAAGATTGAAGCGCTGGAAGCCAATATTCGTGCCACCATTGATACCATACGGCATAAAGACCATGTAGCCACGGAAGATATATGCCGGAAAGCATAATCAAAAAATATATACCATCAAATTATCTACCAGTTTATAATAAAAAAAATTTCATTCCAACAATAATTCTGTCTTGTATTGCCATTTTAAGTTCTCTTGCAGCTAACAACACCCTATACATATATATATATATATATATATATATATATATGTATATATAACTTATAACTTGATAACTTAACAGATGTATTAACATAAGCAAAATCCTTTTCGTATTTATAATATTGTTGAGAAATTTTAGTCTGTAACCTAGAGATCTAATGTGGCCCTTTAGAGTAAACATCCATGTCTTCTATAAGTTTTACGAGTCATCAAGAAAATCAGTATTAGCATATTGCATAAATATCGTGATTAATTCAAAACTCAAATTCAGCAAAACTTGAAATTACACGACCAGAAAACTTCTAAAGCAACAATATTAAACAGGACTTAATATGCTGCTAATGGCTTTATACCATTCAACACGATCTATAAAAACCATAAATCGTATCTTCAATTGTACGCCCAAAAAAATTGTACTCAGGTAATCAGGAGGTGGGAGAGACACCATCACACCTCCCTTAGATCTAAAAATTTCTATGATAGTTTTATTGAACGCAAGGCACTGAAACCATAAAATATAATTTAAAAAATTAAGTTCTGTATTTATTCTTAATTCTTAATTCTCAAACTAATATATATAAATGGAGATTATTTATTAAGGATTATAGATTTCACTTTTATGTCTATTAAAGTTTTCATTACCGTTAACTGTTTCCGTGGTGTAGTGGTTATCACATCCGCCTAACACGCGGAAGGCCCCCGGTTCGATCCCGGGCGGAAACAGATCAATTTTTTTTAATAATCTCTCTTAATTATACTGCATTTAAGTTTCTCCGAAACCACTCATTGTACATATATTTAAAATAAATCTTATAATAACAAACTTCAGCAAAATACAATATATGCTCGTTCATATTATAGATATATCATCGTGGAAGAGCATATTTGTTCCAGCCAAAAGGAAGGTCAGACTGAATTTTATTTTTTGCTCAAATATCTTTTTAAACAGTAGTAAGCAATGATGCAGTAACTTAAGTTTAAGAGGATTCCAACGAGAATCTTAGTCAATTCAATCTTAATCAATAATCGTAAACTAAATGTAAAGGATACTTGATACACAGTTTACTAAAACAAATAAAATCTTCCTTCGCTGAGACACTTTTTCCAAGCGAAACGAACTGAGGCCAGGGAAATTTAAACGCTGGAAAGACACAAAAGAAAACACATGAAAAATAATGGATCAACGGAATTAAAAACGATTGAGAATGTTGTATGTATATGATTAGGGAACAGATTGTTTCACAGGTCGCTGTTCTTAAGGTCTGGTACACACGTCACCAAAAATATTAAGTGTCATCACTTATCCCATGACAACTATGTTATATACAACTGCACTCTGAAAAGCCACTGATGAGTGTATAATCTCAGTACGATTTAATGTATCTCACAACTTTTAAAGAATCATTTTAATTGATTATAAATATTTAATACCTTATAAAATAAGATGAATATATATTTGCCTCTATTTTGTTTTTGTTTAGTTATATAATTAATTTTTAAAATACTTTTGAGAAAAAAAAAAAAACTGTATGTTATAACAGAAACCAGCACCTTTCAAACTGTTTTACCATAGATAAAAACCATATATGATTTTTGTGGATTAGTCGGACAATGCACACTTAAGTTTGAATAAGTTCAAGCTTTTAACTCTTAAGTGTTCGATATTGAGCACTAAAATTTTCTTTAAATTTAAAACATGCGTCACTTTAGTATCAAAACGACACTTAAGTGTGCGTTGCAACATTGACTCATAAAGTATCATTGTGATATTGATTTCCTAAAAGCTCAAAAGCTTTTGAAAATAAACTTTTTGTAAAATCAAAAGCTTAATAAATTTTACCGTACGATTTCATTTAACAGCAAGTGTTTCCGTGGTGTAGTGGTTATCACATCCGCCTAACACGCGGAAGGCCCCCGGTTCGATCCCGGGCGGAAACATCTAATTTTTTTATATTTCTTAAAATATTTGGAATCTCTGGACGTTAAATTTCTTATTACAATTTTATACTAAAAAAAAAAAACAATTGTAATCTAAATGTATAGCACACTTCAGTTTCAGTAGCTGATAGTAATGCCAACAACTTTATCATAAGACTAAAGACTAAGGACAGACCTATTAGGATGGATGGTGTGGATATATTTAATATATGGAAACCAAGCGACAACATTATAATTATGATTATTTCAGGACTTATCCTCTGTGCTAATAATTGGTCCCAACTAAACAGTAAACACTCTTATCTTTGAATGAAAGTCAAAATATGGGTTGTTGATGCAATAATCTTTCCCTGATCTAACTCAAACCAGACAATCACAGAGATCTAATCCGCCTTTGACATACTGTTTACTCGTATACCTTTTGTTAAATTGTTAGATAATTCCATAATAATCCGTCAGATAATCTGCCACTAACATTAGCTTCATATAACTGTACAAGGACGCTCTGTCGTAGTAGCACAAACCAATCAGATCTTTAGCTTGGTGGTTGCCTAGAATACCGTACCAGTGGCGACTTCTTTCAATTACTCATAGAACTCATTGTGGGTAAAGTTATGTTACAATAGGGTTTTGAACCACATGATTGCACATTCATTGTCAGATTGCATGCATAAAATTAAAACACGTTTCACTATAATAACATTTGCTCTCTCTATATATGAAATTGGTTACCCAAAAAACAAAGCTCTCTTTTCTTAATCCAAGAAAAGATTAAATCTCAAAACTTAAGTTTCAAATCTACTTTGCTTATTAGGAAATATTTACTGGTATCAAAGCATATCCTGTAATTAAATTCAGAAAATGTATGTAAGTTTGACGCCTTTTGTAAAACTATCTTCTTTGCTGAAATTTTGTGTTAAGATACCTATTTAAATTTCTTCATTAGTTGCTGATGAAACATGACTTAAGGTCAGCGTAAAAGCAACGCAAAAAGCACGATTTCAACGTGACTAATCTATAAACTTGGATAAGTATCTAATTTTACTAGATGTCAGCTCGGTTGGGTCGGTAAGAAAAGAGATCCCGAAGATTTTAGATCCTCACCTAGCCATTGATGGACACTGACATATTAGATGGAGCACAGATTCTTTCACTCCCGCAAAGCCACAACCTTAACAAAAGTAATTACAAGGTAGATTCAGCTTTACAGCATGTCTTCCTATAATGAAGTGACCCGCCAGCACCGATACCGTTGTTGTGAGCTGATTACATCTTAACTGAAGCATTTGACTGTTGCGTTTTTTGCCCAGTTTGTACCAGGTCAATCTAGAGATCGTACAGCAGGATTCATCTGCTAAAACTTGGCTTGGCAATGCTCAGATATTTTTGCTAGATTTGCCAGTTTAACTGTTGCAAGTGGGACGCCAATCTTGTCCGGCCTACAGTTGCGCGATATGTCCCAGGAACCCATGTATATGATGGCATGTTATGCATACAGTCAAATTATAATCGCCACTCAAATACTGTTATTAATATTGTGATACTTTTTGTTCTGTGTGTATATTCTTCTTCTTCTATTCAATTCAATTTTTCTTTCTATTTCTTGTATATACCTATTTACCACTCAAAAGGTTCAAATATTGATATTTATTGGCCAGTAAAACTACTTTGAACACCATATCAACCACAAACCGTAACTTTTTAAAGCTCCATTGTGCGCACTCTAATTGAAGGACAAAAATCCTGTCCTAAAAAGTGACATTTTAAAGCACTTTTGTATTTCATTGCATCTTATTGGACTCATACGATTTGGGTCAAAGCTTGTATGATTTCAAATGAGTAATATTTTTAAATAAAGTTTCTTTTTTGATTTTACAATTTACTTTTATTCTAACAATTTTCTCTACAAGTATTAACTGAAATGCATTTCCTACACACTACTTTATATCAGATAAGTACAATATATATATAAAAGTTTTACATAGCGTTCTTACACGCGATATGTAATTGCATGGTAACAAACATTATATATTATTTATAACATTATATAAAGTATTATAGACAATTATTGGTCGACTCCATAATTACTCAGCACTTCAAAGTTCATAGTTTAAGATAGAATAATATTGCTGACTTAAACTTCATTCAGCTTCGATTTACTGTGTATTCAGTGTAAGTAGTTGTATTATTTAATACTTTCAAGTATGTTTGAGTGCTAGAAACTATTTAGATATTTTCAGATATTATTAGTGAGACTATATATAAATGTATATAAAACAAACTTAACCAAAACTATTCAGCAATTATGTTTAACACGTTTTCATATAGACTTTTACGTGTTTTTGACGTCACTTATTTAATAAAAATATAAAATATACAATAGTATCTCTTTATAATATATATACTTAGTTTATAAGTATCTTTCATTGTATGTTGTATATACTATTTTACTTAGATTTCTTATTAACTAAACTATGCACATTAGAAAGATTTTTCAAGTTCAAATTATTCATCTCAGATTAACTTTAATAATACAAATTTTTTTTAACAATAAAATTTCTTAAGTTTCTTTCTTAAATTGCAATTATGACATTAAATGTTATATATATGAATTTTATTTATTTATTATTAAATTTAATTTTTTTTTATAACTACAACTAAAATAGTTCATAAAAGTTAAATCATTGTCCTTTGCCCAGAGGCACTTAGAGAAGTGTCTGTGGCAGATGTTAACTCTCTTAAAATAAGTCATAACTTAAGTATATTGAACAGGGCGTTATTGGTAGAATATACTAGGAATCATGGAATTATGTTCTATAGTAAACAATTTATACTTAACAAACTTTTCGATAAAACTAAAGTCTATAAATTGTTACCGAAATCAACTTTCGGTGCAATGAAGTTGGTTTCATATCATTTCTGTTACTTCCTCCTTGCAAACGCATTTATAGGCGTATTTTAAGGATTGCATCTACAAACGCAGCAAGATGGGAACAAAAACCAATCCATAAATATGCCTTTACAATCGTTGTCAGGATCATAGGCCAAGAGACGATGCCACTTGTATTTCTGTTCACAGCCGCAATCATTTTCACAACGTGGAGTTTGAGGTTTTCTGCAAATGTAAAAAATATATATATATACATATATATATAAAGAGTTTTATGTGTATTATATGTACAGAGTGATCAAATGAGAACTAACATATATATATTTTGATAATATTGTAATAATGAATTTCTCTTGAAATTCCTATCAAAATTTTTTTTTTCTAATTTTGCATCAAATTAATTTATTGGATCAAATTCTTTTAAAAAGGCCTACATATTCTCTCATCCTCTCTTTTCTCTCTCTTACAAAATATTACACATCAACATTAATCAACATTAACTTGTGAAACTTCAATTGCAAGGCCTCGAATTATATATAATTAAATAGATTCGTTTAGAAACAAAAACGTGTGGATATACTCATTTATGAGGTGTCATTTGTTTACTAGTGTAAACCAAAACCTTTCATAGTAATAAACAATCATATCTAATAACAAATGAATGGAAACATTTAAAAGAAAGGGATTAATCAAGCTGAACCTCTGTTGCATACCTCGCTACTTAGAGGCTATACGTTCATTCCTTTTATTCCTCTTTTTAAAAGAGGTTCCTTTCAAAACCAGTTTAAACTTCAAACCAAAACATATAATAGAAGAAAACAATCATATCAAGTGTTAAATGATTAGAAATATTCAATAGGAGAGGATTAATTGAACACCAGAGCGCCCCTTATATACCTCACTATTTAGGAACTATATATTCTTGGAAGATTAAAGAACGGCTTTTAATAAATTTAAATAGGTCAATAGATAGTTTGGGAACACAATAACGTATAGAGAGACTTATTTAAAAAGTTTCTTTTCAAAAATTACTTCAAACTTCATACCAAAATATTTTATAGAAAAAAACGATAATATAGAGTGTTAAATGAGCCGAAATATTTTAAAAGCAAGAAGAAATCGAGTCTTAAAATCTTCCATTGCTTATGGATTTGATCATGGATTTTGTCTTCCTGGAAGAATAAGGAACTGCAAATAAAAAATAAAAGTATAAAAGTAGTAGTAACATAATAATACAATAAATAATAAAGTACATAAGTAAATAAGTAAAGTTAATAAAAGTTTTCAACTTTTACGAACCGGGGAGCTACTTTTAGGTGTGTCCAGTTGCAAGTTTCCTGTCTATAGGTTTAATGTGAAAATATATATTCTAAACATATGTTCTTAAAAGCTCTTATTCTACTGTAGGAACTTTATGATCTTTGTGGATTATTTCATCCTGTTATAATGTGGTACTCTTAGGAATACCCTTACTGTATTTCATGGAGCTCTTTACATGACCTCAGTGTTTAATACTCTTTCGTTTCCATATAGATATATGACAATTGAAAGAATATATGTTCAAAGTAATTTAATAAGTATTATTTTTCATCAGTTTGTTATATTGCTTAAGTAACATTTATTAAGACTATTCGAGTCTTGGTTTTGAGATACAAATAAAAATTTTTTATTCATGTTTTCAAAAAAATATTTCATACTCCAAGGTTTGATATACTTGGCTATTAAAAATCCAGTTCGGCTTAACAGTTTCAATTTTATTGTAAATTTCTTTTATATGAATATGTATTCTTCATCTATTTAAGTAAATCGTTAAATAGCTGACGTTATCTACTCAATGTGTTAGACCAATGATCAATGTAATTGACGGTGAAGTGCCACTTTTATGGATATGGAAACATTTTTGTTCATTGGTTTTTGTAACCCATTATACTTCCTCATTATACAAAAGTGAGAGATTTTAAAGTTACAGTGAAGTTTCTAATACCTTTTTAAGAAGAGGAACAATTACTGTGTCTTTGGTAAATAACCCCATATGGGAAGAACCAACATCACATATTAATCCTCTATTCACGCCATTCGTTCATATCCACAAAATTAAAATGTTGGGTATGGTTTACGATGTAAGGGTATATTTGGACTGTATCTGTCTTGAGAATGAAAGTTAAGTTGCAATTATTATTAATAGTAAATGTTTCAAAAACAGTTAATTATCAACTTCTACTAAAATGAGTTAGAAGATTTCAGCATGGACTTTATAAGGTTTAAACAAAAAGGGACCGTATGACGTCTACTTATAACGTAATAAAATCATTGAGAGAAAATGGTAGTAGTCCGTTAGTTTCTTAAAATATCGATATCGATTACAGGATATAACTAGACTACACTGATCCTGCAACCAACACTATTTATATTACAGGTGAAACGAAAGCTGATTTAAAAAAAAAATTGACCGATTATAGACGTCCAAAAATGAACTTTTGAAAAAATTCAGAACTTACTACATATTTATAAGAAGACGTAAACTGATATCGAAGATATAAAAAGAATCACATTATGTTTTATAAAACTTTGTTTTTAATTTAAAAGGTGTATGGTATATGCTCCATTTGATCACACTTAATAGACTCATCTCATAAAAAAATTATATATATATATATATGTATTTGTATGTGTGACTAGAATTGGGGAAAGCTTACGAGCATATTTCTTGATGGATGGCTTGTTCAAAGTGCTGAGTATTCACGATTGCGCGTATTTTACCCGCAGAGTTCGAGGCCCAATATGGTGTCACTATTTCAATTTTCGATTCACAAGCATCAAGTCTGTAAATAAAATTGTTTATATTATTATTTAATTATTATAACTATTTTATTCTAATATTAACCTGCCAGTTGAAGAACCAGTGCTACCAGGATTACCAGGTCCATTTTGTGCAAAATTTTGTGAATTTTTATTTGAGTTCCGATTTTGATTGGAACTCTGTCGTTTATTTCGCAATTTGCCAAAATAACTTTCACCCGCTTCCTCGGCATGTGGATGAGTCTCATCATCTGGTATAACTGCTGGAAAAGCTCCTGGTGGTATAAATATATCAGGTTCATCTATAAAACGTCTTTTACGTTTTTTAGTTTGCTGTCGAGGCCCTTTATTATCAAGTACCATTTCGAAGTCGCCATACATACGCCGCATTAGCGCTTTATTGTCATCAATGAAACGTTCGATTTTTTCACTTAAAAAAATAAATAGATAAATAAGATATGATAATGATATACAATTAATAATTAAGCAAAGTTATATGATATTCACTGCATAAACAAAGTAAATGATTATCTTTCTTTTTAAACCCAAAGTTCTCTACTGCTTAGTTCAATAATTGATTCTGACATTTAATATGAGTATGTAATTAGGTTAAAAATCGAGGATATCAGAAAAACAAGGCTTGAAATAGATAAAAAAAGAAGAAGAGTATGTACTTTAACGCTGAACTACACACAATTTTCATGGCATGCCAAAATTGACTTTATCTGGAGGGGTAAAAATACATCCTCTATATTGTTCTGTCTATTTATTATTTGTCCATAACTATGCTATCCTCTTATGTTCATTTAAAATGCATTTTTAAAACAAATTATTGAAACCACTTACGATAATATAGATATCTAAAATAAATGAATAATAGCACTACCCACAAAATGGCTGAAAGTGGCCCGAAAGTATTACTTTCGCGCTTATGTTAAGTATTACACATATTTTCTTACAGTCGCCGCGACTAGAAACTTGGTGGTTAGTC